CATTAAGCTCATAAAAATACAGCAGTTGAGCTTCACCTAGCTCCAAGCGCGGCAAGGGTGCTGTTAGCCGTCCAATAATGTAAGCATCAGTGGCTAGGACCACCGAATCATGACTAGTCTCGCATTTCTCCATGGAATCGCCAGTTGTATCGCAAAGTCTTGACTGATCAACGACACTTGCGACCCAGAATCGATGAGCACTCGACCTTCGTGGAGCAACCCATTCTTGTCTTTGATTCTCACCTCTGCTGTTGGTAGCAACTTGACTAGCAAGGTGATCGAAAACCACTTGGGGACATCCATCAGTCCGCTAGTGCAGGCTAGCGCATTGTTGGTGCTGCTATCCGTGTCGTTTTCACTCGCTGAAGAACAATTGCCTCCACTCACCGAATAGTGTATGGTTCCGTTGTTTACCCTCCTTGTGTTTACAAACTGCAGAAGAAAGCTAGATAAAGCTGGAATTAGGGTGTAACAGCCTTTGTAAACAATGACTTCTCTCGATGATTTCGCGAAAGTCATGGCTCTGCCTGGCAAATCGACATCACCATCGAGTAGGGGATAACTTCCCCTACTCGATGAATTTGTTGGTTTGTGTAGGAGTGAATTGAATTCCTAGAAATCAACGAGAGAAGGCATTGTTTACAAAGGCTGTTACGCCCTAATTCCAGCTCTATCGAGAAAAGAATTTACGAGCTGCATGCCCACACTTCAAGCAATTCGACAGTGAGCATGCATAAGGGCGAATACGCGATGATCGATTCTCTTCATCGATTTTCTCTTTGCATTGCTACAGCTAAGCGAAACAATTTTCTAGAATTTGTTTAATGCAGAGTAATAACAGGTTGTATTGGCTATCAAAAGCAACAGCAAACGCACCGAGAAACGTTAAACCTAGCGAGTTATTAACAAAAGAGAAAATCGACGAAGAGAATCGATCATCGCGTATAGGCCCTTATGCATGCTCACTGTCGAATTGCAACGGTCTTCAACCGAAAGTTCACTGGTCCTCATAGGCAAATACAAATAACAACAAGAGTCAGTCTACGGAACTTTTACGTCACGAATAGATGAGTTCCAATCTTGCAGAGTACCAAGACACTTCCAGAGTAAAGAGCCTAAATTTATAAAGAGGCGACATGTCAAAATTGGAACAATCGATTGTCTGTCAAAGTCATATGAAAAGTCATTCCAATCGAGCAGAAGACCTGTCAAATGGATAAGATGTCGTCTCTTTATAAATTCAGGCTCTTTATTCCAGAGCATTGGTTAACGATCAGAGTTGATAATGGAAGTGTTACACAGACTGAACCCAAAATCTACCTATCGAACTGTCAAAACGTCTACCTATCGAGCATAAGGTGATCCAAGAGACCAAATGTTAGCAAAATAAAAAAAAATGCCCATTGACCGTCATCAGTGTTGCAAGCTTCACTCTGCGTAACTCCTCTATTATCAACTCTGCTGTGGATTACTTGGATTAAAGAGTCTGAATTTATTCCGAAATTTACCGAACCCAGTCCAGTGCCTTTTAGCAATTAGGACGATCAAATCTAGATAAACATTTCAGAATTGATCAAAGCAGATAGGACCATTTGAAATGTTCATCGAGAAATGGGATGACCCATAGGAAATTTTCGTCACTGCACATCTAAGGTTTTGAAGTATCTTGAATTTGGTTGTTTGGGGTATTGAAGTAAATACATATTCGTAATATGCATTAAGAGCAGAATCGGAATCCAAAATGTCATCAATTTTGGTGCACCGGAACCACTTTAAATAAGAGCGATTACATTAGCTAAAATCACCATCTTAGCGCCCCTCGATGAGACTTTGCAATCGAAGCGAGCTATCAACTAGTAGATTAAGTATCAAAAATTAAATATTTAAATCATGGTTTAGAAATCGAAATGGTTGGGATCGATAAAAATATCGTTGCGCTCAGAAAACGAAGCTCTTTCAGATGATGACATGCAGATGACGACAAAACTACCAACTTTTACGAAATTCTGAGAACCACTAAATCGTTTTGTTATGGAATGGCTGCATACATACATTAAATGCAAAGGGTAGGGATGGGAACCCCCCAGAGCACCGGATTGAAGCATGGGAAGAGTGGAATTGCCAACTCCCTGTCATTAACATTTCGTGGATTGACGGTGGGCTCATCTTCCCACTAATTGGGACGTTTTCTCGTTTGATGGCCTGTTCTATATCGGGTTGTAGGATTTTATCATTGGAATGAGATTCTCCTGATCCCGCGGATTGTGCATAAGTGTATCTGCTTACGGATCCGCCCCTCCGTTTTTGGACCTTTATACAGTGTTATTTTGAATACAGGCTGATGTAAAACTTGGCTACGAATATGCAATCTCTATACCCCTAAAGAACCCAATTGAAGAATTAGTGAAGCCATATGAAGGAGGCCTTCCAAAATAAGTACACAATACTTCATATTGAGTACGAAGATCTTCAAGGGGTAGCCGAGAGGCCCAAAATAACCAGTCTGGAAGAACTATTTCAATGTTCTCCAAGGATCATCAGTTGTGGAATTCATGGCTTAGTTTCGAGGGCTTCTTCTGATTGCACTTCTGAAAATAATTCAGGGGTTTTCCGGAACATTTACGTGGAGCTTTTTGTACAGTTAAAGATGAGTTAAGTTCAGGGCACTTCTAGGAAAAACTGAAGTCCGTCAAATAGCAACCTAGAGAAGAGCACTTAGAAGTTCTTGCTGTTGAATTCAAATCTAGTTTGGAGGTCTTCTAATCCAATCTAATCCAATACAAACGCAGTCAGTACGAGAAAGCATCATGAAAAATGATTAGGTTAGATGAGGTCTAATAATTTTTCTTGTCTAATTGATGTTTAAAGCTTATCTGAGATATGATATAAACATCAATACGGCCAGACCTACAGCGTTATATTTGCCGCAAAGATGATTCTTGGAAATGAATGGGGACATTTCTTGAATCTACAGGGGTGGAAGGATGCGTGGACATGCCGTACCAAACGCTCCGAGTTACTATGTGTAGTTGTGTGTAATGTGTAAATATTTGTACAATATTGAAGAATCATAAAATAATGCAATGGAAGGATCTTACCGAATTTTCTCCTATGTTGGTAATGATTCTTTTGCACTTAAAAGTTTCGTTGGATGCATCCGCTCCTCCGATCGGGAGGTAGCAGAAAAATCCAAAAACAGCCAGTTTGCCATCGGCCTTGCATGTCCAAAAGCCAGATTGTGAGCAATCTCGTGACAGGCGAGCTCTAGCGAATGATTAATCACCCCTCTAAAGAAATATGCCACCAGGAAAATCATCTTCCACGATTGGTCCTTCATTATGAACAACATCGCAAACTGCGTTAGCACCATGGCACCAGCCACAAACTTCTTGATCTGCGGATACTTTTGCAGGGTAATCTTCCTTCGACTGGCGTGCGGTTCCTCGGTGTAACACCACTCGAAATCCGTCCAGGACACGTGCTGGCCCATTGCGGTCACTTCTTGATTGCTTGGGAAATACTCCCAAAATGAAAAAAAAAATCCGAATTTCACAACACTGCTTCACGAAGAACAGTGAAGACGCTCAAAAGTCTACACTGACGAACTTCTCTAGTAAAAAGTAAAAATCCTAAAACCTAGTTTGGAGGTCTTCAATAATATCGAGCGACAATCGTAAATTGGTTCTGATTTGTGTTGTTTGAAAAAATATCGCCATGTAGCAGAGTGAATTCCATTATAGTTAGTTCAGATAACGTGTCAATCGCCAACGGAATCTATCCGGTACATTTGCGTAAATGACATAACAATCACTTGTGTTCAACTCCACCGTAGAACTTTTCCTCCATCGATGAACTAATTCATGCAACGGCAGTCGATGTCGAAACTTAAGATGGAACTGCTTTCTTTTTCGTTCGTTCCCCTTCGACATTTCCGCCTTTTAAAATTGGCATTTGGATGAACTAGAGATACCGTTACCATGGAGCATAACTCTCCATCGTCAGTCTTTACAAAATGATAATCATCTTGTTCATTCAATTATGTGTATGGGAATGAAATTGTGATTTGCATGATTGTTTAGACTTCCCTGATAATAGTAAAGAGCATTCGTCATCATATCGCTGCGACATTTACTCCATCAATAAACACAGTCGAACACAGTGACAATTTGTCGCACAACAAGGTAACTGCTTTCTTGTAGGGTGCCACACATAACTGTCAAAATAGGAACCCTCTGTGTGTTGAATGCACCTTGCTTGTCTACATTTGACATAGCGAAATTAAGTGCGAAATTCGACTGTGATAATTGTGATTTCGGAGAGTCTGCACAGGTTTCCGCAATATATATGAAAAAATATGACGCAACAGAAAAGTAACCGATGCGAAAAAAAGCTCAAAGCGTTGTCAAGCATCTTAATTAAACTCGTTATGACTAGATGTTGGTAACGAGCATCATGCAACTGATGTAACATTGCACTACACAGCTCTCAACAGGCAGTAGTAATTGGATGTACTCATGGGAACTGAATCAGAATATATGAAAGATAGGGTGCCGCAAGACAACGGCAGGCTGTCATTGTTCGAATTAGGTGAAATGGTAAACATTACACATACATTATCATTGGGATTTCAATAATACTCGTATTCAACTGAGACATAGATAGATTTAATCGAGCAACACCATTGATAATGAAACATCTGCTTGATTTCTCTCAATATCACTGTGCATAAGGAATTATGTTTGTTGTGCACAGCAAATTTATTTATACGAATGGGATTTGCCTCCTCCTCATTTTGATAAAAAATAAAACACATCTCTAGTTAATTGGCAAGGCCAACTCTGTTGATAACAATTTTTAATAACCGTGTACAATAATTGACAGCTGTAAAATCTATAATGCAGTGCTGCCAGTTGTTCTCGATTAGCTCATACATATTTTCAAACGTAGAATTCAGACAAATTTTAACGCGTTCTCCTTTTCTTTTGTTTTCCTTTACCCAGCGAACGAATCAAACCCACAGCCAAAATGTTTAGGAATCACCTAGCGATGATTGGCATGAACGAAACGCCCAACAAAAAAGCCAAATTCTGGCAATCATACATCAGATCACTGAAAGGTAAGCAACGAATTAAAAAAGGCTCGAATTCAAACCGAAAAACATTAACCTTGCAACCCTCTCTCCCACACACACACAGGATCCGATGATATCCGTGCACATGACACACCAACCTGGCGGAACCGGCCGATCCTGCTGTACAACGAGCTGGATACCGCGTCCGGTCGTGTTCAGTCGCCCGGATACCACTACCAGCCAGTGCACCGGGAGACGTACGGCTACTCGCCACGGCCAATCTACGACCACCAGTACCCACGCCAACGCCGGGCAGGTAGGATTTTTTCTTAGATCGACGGATCGAACGGGTTGGCTAATCTTCCCCCAAATGCTTGTTTCTTTTCGCTCTCAATTCGCAGCAAGCGTAGGCAGACTGGCCGATGCCGAGAAAGCCTGGAACGACCATCTGGATCGGATGAGAGATATCGACCGCAGGTAAGGGATTTCTGTTGCAGTTGAGGGTGCGGTTGTAGATTTTTTCCAGTACAGGTCCAGGCAATCCGGCATGGATAGCTACGTTCGATGGACGTTGCCGGATTGGGACCTTCGATTTGAATTACATCGGCGCCAATTGAATCTTACTGAGGTCAGTTTGGCATCGTACAGCGACTTTGGTACCGATTCCTATTGTTTCGGATTGGAGCTTTCAACTGAAATTTAGCTGTGAAAAGTATTAAAATTTCCTCAACAGGAACTGGCATTTTGGGCTTTATGTTTTTTGCGAAGTTTCCTTTTTTCGAGAGGGCGAATCTATCTGCTATGCAGGAAAGATTTTGTTTTGGTGTGATTAGCTGCGCGCACGCTGAGTAGATAGAATGAAGATGCAAGTAGATGCTAGAAATTATGGAAGATTTTTCGAGCCGCTAGATTTCAGACAAGAAATACGTAATTTCTAATGTGAAAAGTCCAACGAATCGATTGGCAGCTTTCCCTTCATAATCGCCCAGAATTTTTCTGTTGGACAAAGTTCTGACGAGTTTGGCGAATTTGCCTCCTTTTGGTACAAAAACAACATCTTCGTACCACTCCATCACCCGTTTCACGTAATGGCACGATGCCAGATCCGGTTAAAACAGAGTGTCACCTTTGTGAGACCGGAGGAAGGACAGCAGGCGCTTTTGGAGGTATTCTTCTTTATATTTGATAGATATTTGGCCGTTGATGGTGCCGGTCGTTATGTGCGGCTTGCTGAATTTGCCGCACCCACAGATCGCCTGCCACACTAAGTACTTCCTGACAAATTTGTCGACCTTCTTCTTACGGAATTTCTCCGGAACATCCAGGCGGGACTTGCCGACGAAAAACTTCAGATCGGGGATCTGCTTGGCGTCCACTTTAATGTCTCGTCGTTCATTACGATGCATTCGTCGTCCATTACGATGCATTTTGGCGCACCAACCACTCGCGGTACAGCTTCTTGGCGCGGGATTTGGCCACCGTATGCTGTTTATCGGTTCGGTTAGGCACCTTCCTTACCTTGAAGACATGAAGTCCGGCCCGCTTCATTGTCTGTTGAACGAACCAGACGGAAGAAATGACCTTCTTGGCCACGTCCCAAATCGAAAGGTTCGAATTGCGCTTGAAGTAATCCCTCACCTTCTTTGCGTTAACGCCTTTCTTCCGCTGCCAGCTCACCGCTGGGTCGATCGTATCCAGACGGGACACGGTCGAATTGTCGATTCCAAACTGTTTCGCGATCCACCGGTGGGACTGGCCTGGATTTTCCACGACCGCTCCCATATATTTTGTCGAAGCACTTTTAGCTTGGAAGTCGTGTCGATAACCACTTGACAGATTGTGACGAGATTTTTCACCTGTAAATATTGCACTCTAAACTAGTTTTACTCAAAATTTGATAAATTTTTACTTATGCAATAAAAAGTTATGCATTTTTTCGAGTACAATCTATTATTCCCCCACTAATCCGACAAATTCATGGCCGGACTATCCGGGTTTGACTCGCTAATCCGACTGTCAAATCCATACAAAAAAAAATCAAAACAGCAACAACAAAATTAAATATCCACCAACAGGTCTGTGCCGAGGGGGACGAAAGTAGGCCATGCTACATTTCATTGAACAGATTAAAATAAAATTTGCATAATAATTAAGATTGTTTGGATAAATTCGATTCATAAACAATAATAACACGCGCCTGCCGATATCATCCGATTTCATCAACTATTCATCGATTATCTTGGATGAGTCAAAATTATCTATCCGTTTAATCAAATAAGTTTTAGAGTGTTTATGTTTCTGTCAGTTTCTTGATCGCGCCTAGTGCATCCGCTGTGTGATACTTTTAAAGCCGGTGCCGGTGGCGTAGTGGTAAGCGTGACTGCTCTCTCACCCCAATGGGTCTGGGTGCAATCCTAGCCGAGTTCGGTGGGATTTTAAAGCCGTTGGTTCCGGCCCATGTGTGTTGAATGGGGTGCGATAACCTACGCAAGTGTGGAAACTGCCTTCCTGCACATTCGTCAATGGATGGCAATCGATGTCCGTCGGTGATTAGCACTAGATTGCACGGCGAATGAGAACAACCTAAATTTGAGTTTAGTTCACTCATAATCGCCAAAAGTGCAGAAACTCAGCGATGAGTAAATTTGCCTCATGTTTTCCCAGGTTTTTCCAGGATTTTCCAGGGAAAAATTCCCGAATTTAAGAAAAGTAAAGATTCGATTCACTCAGTCTATTGGTACTACTCCGAGACTGAATAAAATTTTCATCAATTTCTTCATTTTCCGGCAAATTTTTTAGGTTTTCCACAGAAAAACCATGGTACAAATTTACTCATCGCTGAGTTCCTGCACTTTTGGCGATTATGAGTGAACTAAACTCAAACTTGGGTTGTTCTCATTCGCCGTGTGTACAACAGAGGCCGATGTTAAATAAAGGAAAGAAGATGAAAGAGTAGGAAGATACTTTTAAATATTTGACTAATTGGCGTTGACGGCGACTCTGTAGCTCTTTACTCCAATGGTAAAATCCATAAGCAAACGTCAGACTGTGCATGAAACATGGCGGACTTCGTACTATCCTTTCACTCCACTGAAAATTCCCATAAGAAACTGTCAATCTTTGCTAGAAGAAACGATTTTTCAACGGTGCCGTCAACGCCAATGGAAACAAATAATAACAACATTACCGATAGTTTAATTGGACCTATTCAAATACTGCAGTGAATTGATCACACATGCGAACTTCGGTCGCGGTAATCTGCCGGAATATGAGAGAAAACATCTTGGAATCTCCCAGAGCCACTCCCCAGTTGACAACCCATCAGCAGCAGAAGCCTAATTCCGGCACTCCTCTTATACCGCTCCCAACCGTCAATTGCCCTCGTATGATCCAGAATCTCCTAACCGGGAAACTCGTTTGCTCTTGCAATCACCTCAGCCTTCAACCCGGAACACCTGCAAACTGTGATCTATTATCAACGTTCTAATCCCTCTTCTCTTCGCCTTCCTCCCTCCAAAATTTCAAAAGGAAGAAGAATACAACCTACCCAATCAAAGCTGAACAATCTTTGGTTTCCCATCAAATAATCTCGCCAGCGCCAGAATGAACCCTCCTCGGTGTTCTCGATTGCATAATTCTGATCCGTTCAAGTACCGTAAACCTGCTGCTGCACAGTCAGACATCAGTTGCATCTATTCGTGAGAGATCGGTGATCTCGAAGTACCCATCCCCATCGATCTGTGACAATATCCTCCTCAATATCTCAGTTCGGCACTGAGTATCTATAAGGGCCAATGTCGCAAATGTAAACAATGGCTACTTTCCTTAATTCAAAGTCTATCCATGTAAGCCACCAATTCGATCGGATACGGGACTCTCTCTCTCTCTACAAAATAATCGTGGTAGTTTGTATGGACGAGTTTTCATCCTCGACAAATTCGCGGAAGAAGTAATTGTATACGTTTGCAAAACTGGCCCTTATGAAAGAACAGTAGAGAGTTGTTAGTTTGTTGTTATAAAGGTTTTTGATGTTTATTCGGCGTACAATTTTAATGGATGGAGTGCGAGCAAGAGGGAAGCAGATTGGGAAAACAAACCCAGAGTTGATAATAGAAGAGTTACGCAGACTGAAACCAAAATCTACCTATCGGACCATCGTCAACACGCTTTCCGGCCAGGGCATGGCACTAACACATATTTTAGGACGCTCGGTCAGGCGCTCCACGCTGCAATGGAAAATAATCAGCATGTGGAGTTGGCAACGCTGGACATCTCGAAAGCGTGCAACCGGGTTTGGACGCCAGATGTCATCAAACAACTAGCAGATTGGGGCTTGAAAGGCCACATCCTACATTTTGTTAAGAAATTCCTAACCCACCGGACCTTCCAGGTTATAATCGGCAACTACCGATCGAACGCGTTCCGCGAAGAGACGGAACATGAATGGAGTCTTCAGCAACCTGCCAGCGGAGATCTTCATCTTTGTTTACGTGGATGACATTGTACTAATGGCCGTCAAAAGAACAATTAAAGCAATCCGTATCAAGTTAAACCAAGTCGAAAAATATAGTCACCGATGGAGCATCGATGCCGGTTTCGAGCTGTCGGCGGAGAAGAGCGCTTTCGCGCACATCTGCTCTTACAACCACCGATCTCTGACGTCACCGATCACCATCGGATCTCAGGCCGTACCGCAACATAAATCTGTTGAGATTCTGGTAGTTCGTATTGACCGCAGCCTCTCATTCGTACCCCATTTCGATGAAGATGAAGATCTAAATGTCGGTCGAGGTTAAACCTCATTCGCTCGATCGCCAGACGCCACCCAGACAGCAATCGAAACCTTCGGATCCGGATTTCCAACGCCGTCATCGACGCACGACTCACCTACGGGATTGAATTAACCTGTATGTCCAGAACAACCCTCATCGAGAAACTCAATCCTGTATATCAAAGAGCAATCCGAATCACCTCTGGCCTTCTCCCGTCAACCCCGGGTTTAGCAGCATGCGTCGAAGGAGGTGTCCTCCCCTTCAACCGTCTCACGTTTCTGGAAAAAAAAACTACTGGCTCGAGTCCACGGTCCACTGGTGTGGAGCCAGGGGTTGGAATCTACCCAAAATTTCTATCGATTCGACAATTAAGAATAATTTTAAAGCTGGTGCTAAAACACATGGACCACATACACCGTCGATATAAAAACCACACGATCCGCTATTCCGATGGTTCTGTCGCACAAGGTAGAACCGGAATTGGGATATCTGGTCGCGAAATAAGTATACGACACAGTCTTCCCGACCAGTGCAATATTTTCTCTGCTAAGGCAGCTGCAGCCTACGTCGCCATCACCACGCCGTCTATAAACCCATCGTGCTTCTTCACGGATTCAGCCAGCGTTGTAGCCGCCCTCGACGCCGAGTACCCCACACACCCGGCCATCATCCAGTCCGCTCCACCCAACACCACCGTTGCCTGGA